ATACAACTTGCCTAATAATTCTGCACTCCCTGTATTGTTCCTAGAGTCGCCACTATGTCTGCATGTGTGTCAATGTGTATATGTGTGTACATACAGACACATACACACATACAGACACACACGCACACACACATGACAAACATACATACAAACAGACAGGCACACATACATACATACAGACAGACTCACACATACGGACAGACACACACAGACAGGCACACACACATATAAAGACACATACATACAAACAGACAGGAAGTTCAGAAGTATCGAAGTGACAAAGTTGCCGAATTTCCGAAGTGTTGAAGTGCCGAAGTTCCGAAGTGCTGAAGTGCCGAAGTTCCAAAGCTGCCGAAGTTCCGAAGTGTTGAAGTGCCGAATTGCCAAAGTCCCGAATTGCCAAAGTCCCGAATTTCGGAATGCCGAACCGAAAATTTTCCCCATGCACATGCCTACTGAGCAAGTCTCTCTGAGTGACACCAACCCAGTCCACGCTATGGAACTATCACATAAACTACTGATGGCATAGCGCTCTCTATAGCTCACCCTGTATCTCTTAGTCGACTCTTATCTACCCCCCTGCTATACCTACATGTTCTTTATTATACAGCACTGTATTGGCTTTACATGTCAAAGTAGCATACAATGTTAGAGAATAGGCGCTTGAGGGTCACTAACAGTTTTTATTAGGGTACCTCTACACCGGTTCTCTCGTCCTCTCCTTCACTATACCTTAAGCACCCCGAAATGGGAGAAAAGCAGAGTACCGTACAACTTATCCCCTGTCAAAGACAGCTCTCGTGTATCGCTAGTACACTTGGTGACGGTGTTTCCCAATGCTGTTCTATAGGCTCGATAGCCATATATACATCTCACAGCACCAGCCAGTGTCACACACGTCTCTGTTTTAGCATTTTCGTGCAATGGCTTCCCCAGTATACTCTACTTTGCCCCCACCTAGCACCACTTCTGTGGCTGAGATCGACAGTCTTGATGATCTCAGCCAATCCAATGTTTCCCCATAGGAAAGAATTGGGAGGCTAATATGCATGCGTGGCAAAATCTCTATTGGGAACGTTCAGGGCATGGTGACGCTGAATGTAGGTGCTGCACACTGTGCAGCACTGACCCAGGAAACATCTCTTTTTGCTAGGCACTAGAGGTTTTATCTGAAAAGGCAGTGTTTACAGTCAGGGGAGGGCTGGCAGCCTTAGGCCTGGGGGGCAAAACCAGTCAAGTGGCCCATTGCACCACCAAATCATTTCGCCATCCATGCCCACCTTTTCCTGGTTTTATAACGGATATTGATGTTATGCTAATCAGTAGCTCGTTGCCATACCTGCTCCTTCACGGCTCTGACTTTCAATGTTGTCAGAGCGCAGGCTGAGAATCTCTGAGCCTGTGCTCTGACTCACTAACTGAGTGCCGGAACCACGAGGGAGAGGATATGACTGCACCTACTGCTGGGGCGCACCAGTGGACCACCAGCGAATCGTTTAAATTGAATATGCTGGTGTACCCAACTTGTGAGCCGTGTTGGCCGCCGGGTGCCTCTGTTGTCATGGCACCCTGAGTGACCGCACAGCGTGCACACCCCAACGGCTGGCCCTGCTGAAACACACTGATGTTACTACTTAGAAATCCCTCAATAGTAATACAGACATCAGAGTAAACACCAATAAACTGTGAAAACAGAGCTGATCCCCCCAAATTTATAAATATATGCTTAGTGGATTTGTTGTAAGATTAAATCATGCCTCCTCCTCTCTCTCTCCCATGCGCTGCTCTGTAGGCTGGGAGGAAGTGAAGAGTAATCACAATCTCCCAGCACAGCGCCACCTGTGGCTGCATGGGGAACAGCTGTTTAATGTAATGCTTGCAGGACGGCCAGCTGCCGCAGAACCTATTTGTTCCCGTCTCTGCAAAGGGCCCAAGGCACTGCTTGTTGTGAGTGTGAGCCACTGTAAATTAGGGGCAGAGGGCACTTGCACTGCGGTTAAGACAGGTCTGGGCAGGAGGAGAGTGCAGTGCAATCAGTGCACTCCCCTCCTGTGGGTCACCAGTAGACTGCCCAGGATCAGAGCCGGTGCAAGGATTTTTGCCGCCCTAGACAAAATAAAAATTTGCTGCCACCCCATGTGACATCACAACGCCCCACCCATATGATCTGCCATATGAACTAATGCCAGTGCTGCACACAGTGTGTGTTTACATTAAAAAGCCTGCAGGGACCGGCTATAGACACCAGAACCACTTCATTAAGCTATAGTGTCCCTTGAATGTGAGGTAAATTATAGATTAGTGTCACTAATAATATACTAGATTGCCTACTTACAACCAGATGAGGATGATGATGGGCTGCAGTTTGGCTCCACTGGTCTGGTGTAGAACAGGATATCTGGAGGCTGTTTGCAACTGTGGTCACAAAATTCAATGTTCTGGGAGAATTGGAAGCAGCTCCATTTTTTGGGGGCCCCTTACACAGCTCAAGGTCTGGGCCCCAGGGCCTGACGGTGAGTATGCCCATAAGGCCCACTCATAAGTCCACTTATATGTTCCACCCACCCATGAGTTCGCTCACAGGGAGTGGAGTGTGTAGGGGATGTGTTATGTGTTATTGTAGAGGATCTAATATGTGTGCTTTTGGTATGTAGTGTATAGGGATACCAGTTTGTGTGAAGTGGTAGCAGTGTGTATTTGTGTATAAGGGATGTATTGTGTGTTTCTGGTTGTGTAAGGGATGCATTGTGTGAATCTGTGTATGCATAAGGGATGCAAGGTGTGTGTCTGTATGTGTGTGCATTGAGTGTAAGAGATGCATTGTGTTTCTGTGTGTATGTAAGAAAAGCAGTGTGTGTGTGTGATTGCATGTGTGTGTAAGGGTTTGCATTGTGTGTTTCTGTGTATGTGTGCAAAGGATGCATTGTCTTTGTGTGTAAGGGTTGCATTGTGTGTGTGTAATGGATGCATTGTGTGTTTCTCTTTGTGTAAGGGAAGCATGTTGTGTTTCTGTGTGTGTAGGGATGCATTGTGTGTTTCTGTGTATGTATAGGGATGCATTGTGTGTGTGTGTATGCGCGTAGTGTGAAAGAGCTCCCTGTCTTGCCCCCTGTCCTATAGCGCTGTCCCTTCTGTCCCTTAGAGCTCTCCCCTGCCCCTTAGTGGCCTCTCCTCTCCCCCACCCTCCCCTAGTGGTCTCTTCTCACACTCACCCACCCTCCCTGTGCTCTTCTCATCCCCCTCCCCCACCCTCCCCTAGCGGTCTCTTCTCACACTCACCCTCCCTGTGCTCTTCTCATCCCCCCCTCCACCCTCCCTGTGTTCTTCTCACTCCCCCCTCCATGTGTTCTCCTCACTCCCCCCTGTTCTTCTTACCCCCTCCCTGTGTTCTTCTTACCCTCCCCCCCTTTGTTCTTCTTATCCGGCTTCTTCTTCTTGCCTCCTTCTTCTTACTCCCTCCTACTTCTTCTTCTTACCCCCTTCTTCTTGTTACCCCCTTCTTCTTCTTACTCCCCCCTTCTTCTTCCTCCATTCTTCTTCCCTCCCTTCTGCTATCCCCCCTTCTTCTTCTTCTTCCCTCTTCTTCTTACCTTCTTCTTACCCCTTTTCTTCTTCTTACTCTCCCTTCTTCTTACTCCCCCCTTCTTCTTACTCCCCCCTTCTTCTTACTCCCCTCCTTCTTCTTACTCCCCTCCTTCTTCTTACTCCCCTCTTCTTCTTCTTACTCCCCCTTCTTCTTTCCCCTCCCCCTCTTCTTAACACCTTCTTCTTACCCCCTTCTTCTTACCCCTCCCCTTCTTGTTACCCCACCAGTTCTTCTTAACCCCTCCCCTTCTTCTTACCCCCTCTTCATCTTACCCCTCCTTCTTCTTATCCCCTTCTTCTTCTTACCCCCTCTTCTTCTTACCCCCTTCTTCTTACCCCTCCCCTTCTTCCTACCCCCTTCTTCTTCTTACCCC